CAGGCATTGTAACTACCCTGATCTGAAAACCAAATTCTCGATTATTTTTATCTTCTATCTCGAAATTCAACCAACAGGACTTAGCAACACTAATTATGCTGCTGCTTGGTACTGGTACTTGAATCACACTCGCACAGAATACCAACCGTTTTAATAGGGCCCGTTTGAGCCTTTCATTCGTGCAGCAGCCCTAACATGTTGTATGTAGAGTGGCGCTATCACGCAGAAGATACGCCAGGTTTTCATTATTTATTACAGCATATAAAAAATGCTAATGCTTAAAGGCAGCCACACACGCTAGGTTATAACCGATGGTTATGCTTGCACAGTTGAACTGTGCAGGCATAACTGAACGTGTGTATGACTTAATTTCTTGCCTGCGCAAGCAAAATTAAAAATATAGAAATTGATATTTTAACCGATCGGTTATGCTTGCGCAGGTCGCTTGCGCAAGCATAACTGAACGTGTGTGACAGGCGGGTTTCAGACATCCAGCAAGTGCCGAGGGGAAACGAACATTTTTTGGAATATATAATCGGAGCCCTGTATATGTCGATTGAAGGATAAAGAGTATATTGATCGAAATAGAAAAGCGACAATGTATGAAAAATTAAGAGAACTAGAGGCCAATGCGACAAAAGAGGATGTTGTCAAAAAAATTTATGCGCTAAGTAGTAATGTAACTTTCAAGAATAATTTTGCTTAAAGCTTTCGACGATATGAAGATATCCGAATATTTTAAACATCCATATGGCCGTCCTGTGGCGAGGAATCTCAACGTCACAGTTAACCTCTCGTGTTGTGATATAGCGGTTCTCATAATGGTGTCCTGCTTTTTAATTAATGGAGTCACCTTTGATAACAGCGTAAGATAAGTTTTTTCGTCCATTCGTAAATAATTACGGTAGTCTTTCGGATAATATGTTAATTCCTTTAGTAAGTTGACATGGCACCTCTTCTGTAACTACTTTTTACACCACTCTGTACGGTTTTGTTGCTTAGATTTTTTTCTTCAAAATTGCAAATAATACCTAATCTTACCGGCGCTATTGCGTCGACGTCAACCACCGCTGCCGGTGCCATGATGGTGCCTGAGAGCTTGTGCAGGGTTGTTACGTGTGTGTGTGTGCCCTACGAAACTCGGTCGGGCCGTCGGTTTTGCTTGCACAGGCAAAACTAACAAGCATAACCTAGCGTGAGTGGCTACCTTATCGCCATTAGATTGTCTTATAATTGGGGTTTGCAGTGATTGGCAAACTTGGCAGTCGAATTGTTTAGTATTTTATTTTTATTTGTTATAATATGCCAACTAGTTGGCGGAAGGTTGTAAATTAATCAATATAGTAGCGGCGCTGTCGTCGCGCCACTAGCACACCGAAACACACCGAAGCCTAAATCGCGCTATTAACATTCCGAATCATAGACAGTATATATAGAACTTCTCCGAACTATCACTCGGGCGAACACCTTGCCCAGCGGGAGATCTCCCCTTTTCCTTCCACGGCCACAATATCTTTATTATAATGGATTTCCGCAAAGTAACGCCTGATTCTATCAATTATTTTTATTCGTTATTAAGAAGACGCTGCTGCCCATCTCCTGTTTCAATTTCCCTCTGTCGCCTCTTACGCCGTCCACGGTATGATATGGTATAACAGATATGCTTACGCCGTCCACGGTATGATATGGTATAACAGATATACTTACGCCGTCCACGGTATGATATGGTATAACAGATATGCTTACGCCGCCAACGAAACAAATAAAAAATTTTTGTACATAATGACATTTTATTCCTCTAAATAACTGGCTGATTGAAACCTTACAATCACAGAAAAAAGTAACTGTAACATACTCGTAAATAACAGACGACATTTTTTTTAAATTATAATAAATTTCTCCCGTAGGGAGGAGGTATGACAAATACATAAATTGCACATGGACTAACATCTGAATCCGGAAAATATATGGTATTTGAACTCGCGATCTTTGGATCGGCCCTTTGGGCCGAACTCGAGCCAATATACTACGTTAGTCTTGTATTAAGAAGAATACATCATCAGAAGCACTTATTCAACAACAAATAAACAACTTTAAAAATCAATCCGAGACTTCTCGCGATCACATAAGACCATACTTATAATTCATATCAATACTTACAGACACCACAGCCCTGAGCACACGTGAGACGTCCAGGGTTGGGGTATGTGACGCCGTTATACCCGCACACTGGGTTATATTCCGCCGTCACGGGGCAATTTCTAATGTATTCCTGTACGGTGGGGTTGTTCTCAGCTGACGTTGTAGATCTGGTATGCAATTCAGACTTTCAACCGTTAATTAATTCACTCATTGCAGCCCATTTAAGTCCACTACTCAACATAGGCCTTACCATAAATTGCCTCATAAGGGAATATATGTACCAAAGTGCAACGCTTGACAAGCGAATTAACAACCGTAGTTTGTTATTTAAAATACTCTGCACATAGGCAGCTGCTCTTGGTTTATTTCCCACATATTCTTATACTGCCACTTTTTGAAATTTAGCCTCTCAGTCCCCAAGCTGTCGAATCCGACCGCGGTCAAAATCCCGCGCACAACCACAGCATTTTCAACCATTAAAACTTATACTTAGAGACTACTTTTCTGTGAAGAAGTTTGGCATTATAGAATCAATATGAAATTTTCTCTCCTCAGTGCAATAAAACGTCAAGTTATCTTAAAGTTAAAAGTAAAGTTACAGCCTATATACGTCCCACTGCTGGGCTCAGGCCTCCCCTCATTTCTGAGAGGGTTTAGGGCAAGGAAGTGTCCGCCGCGCTGCCCAAATGCGTGTTGACGAACTTCACATGTCTTTCGAAATATTTTTTTTTCGTATTCCTCAGACATGCAGGTTTCCTCACGATGTTTTCCTTCACCGCCGAGCACGTGGTAAATCAGCACTTAAAATTGCAATTAACAATTTCTTTGGTGCCGGCGTGTATCGAACCCGGGTTACTCGCGTTCTGTTATATTTACAGCGAGAGTTAACCACTGAGCTACCACGGCTCTTTTAAGTTATCTTATGAATATTTATTTATAATCTACGTTCATTTCGTACGCCATTTTCGCGTGAATGTTATTGTGTTGATTTTTGGATTTTTCTAGCGTTTTATTAGTGTTTTAGTATTAGTGTTTTGTTATAAAATTGTAATGAAAGTTTTTGTGTAAATATAATTTATCTTTTTACTTAAATAATTTAAGTTTTAATAATATAACTTTTAATGGTTTTAAATGCTGCGGGTGGGCACGGTCGCATGCGACCGCTCGGGATTTGCCGGGCGCATGCGCGATACGACGTCGATTGATTGCAAACCGTGTCGAAGCGCTTTGCATTTGAAATTAGCGGAAAAATGCAGGGATAGCTTGTGGGGTCAACCGTATTTTTTATGTCAGTAATGAAGTTTTAGTTTTTAACAAAATCGGCCCCGAGACTTCATTGAATGCTTTTCGCTATTCTCTATACTTTAGAATTTGACCATCCATGCCTAATTCAAAACCACATCCTATAAATGCATTATATTATTTTATTCAGTCGAGGCTAAGTAGGTACCTTACTACTAGTTACAGGTTATCTACATTTCTTAGGGGGTTTTACTATAAGGAAATGTCTGCCGCGTTGCCACAATGCGTTTTGGCGAGCTTTACATTGTCACACGTCTTTGAAAAACATATTTTTTATTATTTTTCAGACATACAGGTTTCTTTATGATGATTTGCTTCACCGCTACGTGGTAAATTGCGATTTTCAATGCTGATTTACTACCTGCTAGCTACTTTTTAATTAGGTTACTGAGCTTATATAAAGTTGCAGCCTATATACGTCCCACTGCTGGGCACAGGCCTCCGCTGATTTCTGAGAGGGTTTTAGGGCAAGGAATCGTCCGCCGCGCTGCCCCAATGCGTTTTGGCGAACTTCACATGTCTTCGAAATATTTTTTTCCTTATTTCTCTGACATGCAGGTTTCCTCACAATGTTTTCCTTCACCGCTGAGTACGTGGTAAATCAATACTTAAAATTGCAATTAACAATTTCATTGGTGCCGTCGGGGATCGCACCCGGTTTGCTCGCGGTGCCCGGTTTACTGTGAGAGGTTATATAACATATGGTAAAATATTTGGGCACAACTTACTTAAAAAAGTAATTTTAATCATTTATTTAGGCTCTTCCACTTTTCTATCGCTCCTGTCAAATCTTTATCCTGACCTTATTGCATTTCTGTGAAAATACCGATTGATGGAGGGGTAAGAGATTCCGTCATCCCATTTTGTCCATTGGGTGTCGTGAGAGGCAACTAAGGGGTGAACCAAAAATATCTTACAGCTAAATATAAATGGCGGTATGCATACCTCATATATTCAAAGCTTAAAATATCTAAACCGGCAATGGGTGCAGTGTCAAAGCTGCGAGACGTTTATCAAAGAGATTGGCAATCCACCTGGCAAGCGTAATGAGATGATTGCAGTAAAACGGGCTCGGTCCATGTTCAACAATGTGCTTTTACGGGCTGTTGATGTATCATCAGCCCTTAAACAAGAAGAAAGAGAACATGATGTTTTCAAAGCATGAAATATGAAGGGTTGTCGGGGCTATGGCCCACAAGGCTGTGTCATCTGTTTCCAACCTTATCAAGTAATTTTATATAATGGTATACATATTGCTTTTTAATTGGGAGTAACAAAGCCTAGAGAGTCGATACTTACAGCTGCCGCAGATCCTGCCGCAAAGTACAGCTAAGTTTTGTCCACATCATCGATGGACTTTTGATCTTCATCCATATGTAACGGGGTAAGTTTCATGATAGGGTTGGGCTGATTAATTGTTTAACGGACTGCAATGATGATGATCAAACAATTTGAAAAAATGAAAAACATTATTCTGTCTTAATACTTTATTTCTTTATGTCTTTCTTATTTTAGTTGTCTACAATTACCTATACAAAATAAGTGCAATAATCAGCTTAAACTAGAGGAGCAGCGGTTGTAGTAGACGGGCAGGGAGACGATCGAAGCACATTCACAGCTGAAAAGAAATAGGTTTTGATTAAAACTTTAATTTAAGAATTCTTACCTCGAATTTTTTCATGATATACTTTTTTATCTGGTATATTACAGTTAAAGGTCTTTTTACAATTCGATACTAACACTAGATGCAAATGTATTACCAAGACATATCCTCATCATCTATATGTCGGAACGCTTTCTCAACAATTGCATAAGATTCGAACCGTTTTATAGTTTACGTGCCCCGCTATAACTGTATAATTCTTCTAGTAGAACTATTCGAGCTTTCGACCGGGGAAGGACCTCGCTCTTAAATCACATAATACTAGCGTCAAATAGTAACTTAATGCTGCTGTGTTTCGTATGGTGACTGTAGAGAACCGGAGACCCTTTTTACTGGAAACGAGGCATTCCATCTTAATCCTAACGGGTGACAACGCATCCGCATTTCGATTCGTAATCGAGAATAGTTGTCTATAGACCACAGCAACCACTTACCATCAGGTAGACTGTGTGCTCGTTTGTCACACTACCCTATAAAAAACCAAAATTCCTCATCATGCCAAACAAAGATGTTTTATATAACAAAAGTTAAAACTAACGTCGGACTTACATAATATATCTTCCCTATGTTAAGAACGTGTAATTTTTTCACTGCAATATAGATAGGTATCTTAACGACTTATTGTCTGCTTTTAAGCAAAATATACTGAAATCATTTGTAAATATAATAAAGTAAAAGTATAGATGTAGAATATTTCGTTCAAACAGAAAGACATAGTCATAAGAAAAAAAATTCTACTAGCTAAACAAAAATGAAAGAACATAGCTAATCGTTTGAGGGTCACAAAGATTGTTGCCTGATATTAAGCCTCTGTTGTTAAACTAAATCATAAAATACTTGGCATTTGCTTGTTTGTATTTATTAATAAAAACTGACTTCACTGAAACTCATTTACGCAACAGTTAAATATAATTGCGTTCGTTGCTTTTTACAAATAACTTTTGAAACAAAACTTCTTTAAAATCCTTTAATGAAACGAAAAAGCGACACTAAAAAGAGACAAACATATACATCTATATGATTTAACCTGCAACAGAATGAGATGAGAATGAGAATGTTATAGCAGTCGTGTTTAGGCCAGGCATATTTTCTATTTTACGTACCATCTTAAGAGTCAATCAATTTTTGTTTGATAAAATGACTTTGTCTATAAAATGAAGTAGATGGCGCTATTACGAATGAATTTTACTTCGAGAAAGTTTACTAGATATTGGCAATTTTCTAAAGATTTAACTTTTACTGCGTGTGAAATATTTTGCAAATATATATTTTTTGTAGCGATTGACTAAATATCGAAAGCATTTTCTACCTTTATGTTAAGCAGAGAGGATAAACGACAAATTCAAAAGGTGTACGTCACTAAAATCAAACCATTTTTGTTTATAAATAACATCAGGTCAAAGCATGTAGTTCGTATTCATCATTGCCAGACTTCAGGTGTAATTTAAGAGCCTTTTAGGTGTCTGATGAAGGTGTTTTTAAATTACACCACATCAAAGTGTGTGGTTTGTAATTAGAGTCGCGTGGCATCGGATTATATTACAAATAATAGTAATATCTCATTGTTGCCTGGGACGATATTTAAATAAGGTTTAATATTAAACATACTGCCAGTGAACACACAACCATATGACAACCGTGGCGATGAATGCAAATCCTTCGTATATTGGGAGAGGCCCAAGCCCAGCTTTGGTGAACATTAGTAAACTACATATCTAACCTTAATAACCTCATATTCAATACAACGTATGGTACGCGATATCTTTGACAATTATGAATTGATTAATTCACTTTTATACAATGGGTTCTACTACGTTAGTTCCATATAAATCTCGAGAAAATTTCAACTCTGAAGGGTGGCAAAAAAAGTGATAAAATTTAAAAAAAAGCGTTGCCTGGGGCGGTACCTAAATAAGGTGTAACATTAAACATACCGCCCATAGACACCACCAACCCGCAAGACAACCGTGGCGATTAATGTAAATCTAAATGGGAGAGGATCAAAATCAATAATGGGAGATGCCCAAGTCCAGCTTTGGTGAACATTAGTAAACTACATATCTAACCTTAGAACATCATATTCAATACAACGTATGGTACGCGATATCTTTGTCAGTTATGAATTAAGAACTGTTTATTATTCAATGGGTTCTATTATATTAGTTCAACGTTTCCACTCTTAAGGGTGGCAAAAAAGTGATAATATATTAATATAACTAATTAGACGTAATTGAGATTGTGATTTATTATTACTTACACTTATTCTTACTTAGATGTAAAAATAAATCTGAATTTTTATGCCTTCTTAGTTTTTGCAATATTATATAATAGAAATTTAATCCTTCCAAAACATGGTAAGCCTACTTAATGCCTAGTAAATACTTAGGGGTCATTCGTGTTGTACAAGTCTTTTGGTAAGATTTTTCCGACGTTTTTATTTGTTGATGATTAACAATCGTCTCGGGAAATATTCCTACCACAATTATCACACAACCTTGAACATGCGTCTCGACATTCATAAAAATAATTTGTTATTTGCGTTCGCAGTATTCTACACTGTGAACATTGATGATATTTTTACAAAATACCACTTTACTTCTACCATTGAACTATATTTAGAAGTAAAATTGACTAATGCGTTCTGTTCACGTGAATGTAAGTGAATACACGGTATACCATAGACATCAACATTTTCCCTCAATTAAGACTCATGACAGATACGTTGTCACCTCTGAGGACTGGAATGGTTCGTTACCATTAAAAGTGTCCAGTTCTCGTGACTCATAAGCATGACTAGAAAGCATTATTCTTAGTGTTACCAGGTGTCCTGATTTGAGCGTAAAGTCCCGATTATCAGGCGTCTTGTGACACATCCCAATTAACCCTTGATCGGGACGCAAAATGTCCCGATTTTTTTAGTAACTTCCTAAGTCTGTACTTCGATTGATCATTTTGACAACAAAGATTACGTATTTGTAAGCTGTTACTACATTGAAATTATACAAATTTTACAGAAGCACTTATTCAACAACAAACAAACAACTTTAAAAATCAATCCAAGCCTTCTTGCGATCATATAATTATACTTACAATATATATCAATACTTACAGACACCACAGGCCCGAGCACATGAGAGACGTCCAGGGTTGGGGTAAGTGACGCCGTTAGACCCGCACACTGGGTTATATTCTGCCGTCACGGGGCAATTTATAATGCATTCCTGTACGGTGGGGTTGTTCTCAGCTGACGTTGTAGATCTGGAATACAATTCCGACTTTCAATCATTAATTAATTCACTAATTGCAGCCTATCTAAGTTCACTACTGAACATAGACCTTACCATAAACTGCCTCATAGGGGATATATGTACCAAAGTACCACGCTAGACAAGCGCGTTAACAATCGCAGTTTATAATTTAAAATACTCTGCCATGGGCAGCTGCTTTTAGTTACCTTTATATTCTTATATAGCCCCTTTTTTGAAATTTAAACAGGTATTATATACATAGTCATTAAGAAAAAAATTACGTAATTTTTATAACGGTTGCTTTGATGTAATTTTTTTATGAAACTGAAGTGACAAACGAATTCATGGTCTACTAGTTTACCTGATGGTTAGTGGCTACTGTAGTTCATGAAAACCTGCAGGTAACTTCAAATAAAGAGAGTTATTTCTGGTCACCTCTGTGAACTAAAATGGAACGACTCAGCCTGTAAGTACACTGGCTCTGTAAACTCTTCACACGAGAACACAGCAGTGCAAGCAAAGCTGTTTGGAGACAGAGATACGTTTATTTAAGTAATTTAATTAATTTATTGTAGTGTCCCAAATTTGAAGAAACATGTTAGTTGTTATTGAGTTAATACTAAATATTTTTCGGTGCTGCTCCTCAATAAGCAAATAAATAATCACTCTAAACCAAACAGTCAGAATTTGTGTACCGGGTATTTTTATTTTATGCCTTGCTAAAAATTAAAACAAAATCACTATCTACTTGCCCATCAATTGGATTTTGTGTCGTCTGTTGTCCTTGTCCGGGAAGTCGCCCTTCACTGGAAGTTTGTCCTTGACCATTAAACTGTCCTTGACCAGAAAATTGTCCTTGACCATTAAACTGTCCTTGACCAGAAAATTGTCCTTGACCTGAAAATTGTCCTTGCCCAGGAAACTGAACTTGACCGGGAAATTGTCCCTGACCGGGGAAAGTCCCTAGGTCAGGATACTGTCCAGGATAAGGCCATTGACTTGGAACCCTTTGGTTGGGATACTGCATTGTCCATTGAGGCTGTCTCCTTCCAAACGCTGGTTGCCTGTTCCAACCATATCTATTGTCTAAATCATCATCAGCATCTTCCGTCTGCCTTTTGCTCCTTAAGTCCATACTGAAGACTTTATCCACTATAACAACTGAAAGAGAAAAAGAATAATTCTTGATAAAAAATAATGTATCTACTTAATAAAGTATTGAAAAATTGGCGTAATATCACAAGGAGTAGGATTATATCAGCAATCATTTCAGTGTTTGAAATTATATTGTAGTAAATATAGTATTTCTGACCGTATGAGATACCCAGCAGACTATTTCGGAGCTCTCTATGCTATAGTTTCTTTCCTTGATAAGATCAATCGACATGACCCAATAGAATAGACTAGACTAGAAAGCCGAAGTGGCAACGGGTCAGACATATAGCTCGGAGAACTGACAACCGATGGAAAGAAAGGTTCTCGAGCGGCAACTTCATTGCCGTAAGCGAAGTGTAGACTACCCCCCCCCCCCCACTAGACCTCAAGAGATCCAAAAAATGTTAAAGAAACTTTTGTTAGAGAAATAAAATATTCTGGTATTTCAACAGTGTTCGTAATTAATAAATATACCCCTAATGAGTATGAGAGCAGGCATCAAGGATTGCATTTTAAATTATGAGCTTAGTGATATTATATTAGATTACAAAATGATAAACATTGTCTTTGTAAGATATAGCCCCTTACCACTTTAAAAAATAAATAAAACTAAACGCATCATATATCTAGATATACGCATCATACTACTCGTATTCGTGAATGCGATACTTCATAAATATGTAAATAAAAACCGGCCAAGAGCGTGTTGGGCCACGCTCAGTGTAGGGTTCCGTAGTTTCCCGTCCGTCACAACAAGTGTTCCCACTTATGAGTTTAAAGGTGGGTATCCATTATGTTCGCGCTCCAGCAGCGCTCCGCGCTTCTGCAACTGCTCCCCAGAAGCGCGGTAGTGGGTACTGTTGTTTCCATCCAAGTTCAAAATGATTTTCCTAGAAAGTCCTTACAAAGTTCTACTTTTCAGATTTTTTTCATATTTTCTAAACTTATGGTTCAAAAGTTAGAGGGGGGGGGAACACATTGTTTTTTTACCTTTGGAGCGATTATTTCCGAAATTATTGACATTATCAAAAAATGATTTTAGTAAACCCCTATCCATTTTTAAACCCAACAATATATCACACCTTAGAGTTGAAATTGAAAAAAATTATTTCACTTACATATAGGGGGGCTACCCTAATAAAACATTTTTTCCAATTTTTATTTTACCACTTTGTCGGCGTGATTGATACACATATTGGTACCAAATTTCAGCTTTCTAGTGCTAACGGTCACAGAGATTAAGCGAGGACGGACAGACGGACAGACAGACATGGCGAAACTATAAGGGTTCCTAGTAGACTACGGAACCCTAAAAATGGACAGGTGGGAATTGGGCCTCGGTCTTTTAGGGTCCCATACATATCCCGACTAACTAATTTTGTGTAACAATTTTATTTTAGTTTTGGCACGACGTACAAATTACTCATTAAATCAATGTTTTCAGATAAACAGTATAAAATGTTACATTATATACAGGAATTTCAAATTCCTAAATAGTCTTAGTTTTTAACACAAACCTAATAAGAAAAGCGGTATAAAAGTGACAACATTGACGGTCCTATTTCTTTATTTTTGAATATAAAAAAAATCCTATTTCGTTATTTTTTTAAATACCAGTAAAAAAACTGAACAATATCTTTTTTATAGGAGAAGGGTGACTAATGAACACACATTCCGCCTGATGTTAAGTAGTTGCTGTGACCCATAGACGTCTACATCCATCCTCAACTACGAATCAAAATGCAGATGCATTGTCACCCGTGAGGAATAAGATAGAATGCCTTGTTTCCAGTTAAAGGGGTTATCGTTTCTCTAAACTCACCATCCGAAACATAGTTGCACTTTTAAGTGTTAATTTGCCACAGCTCGGCGTTGAAGGAAAACATCGTAAGGAAGCCTACATTTTGGAGAAAATGAAAAAAATTGAAAATATAAAATTGCGCTAACAAGCTTTGAGGCAGCGCGGCGGACATTTTCTTGTCCTAAAACTCATTAAGGGGAGGTCTGTGCCCAGCTGTGGGATGTATATAGGTTGTAACTTTTAATTTTACTATGAAAATACATCGAACACTGTAGCATTGAAAATAGAGATAACCTGCAAAAACACTTGCCACTAGCAATATGTAAAGTCACCGAATCATTAGTCGATAAAGAATTAAAAACCATGAAGAACTAAAAACTGACTAATAACATAATTTATTCCGTGACGAAAAATAATTACAGAATAAATTACACACTTAGTAGGTATAGAAGTAAAAGATGTCGGCGTGAGATATAATTAATTCATTAAACACCAGTCTTTATTAAATTAATAATAATGATGTTCTCGGTGGACCGGTTATTCAATCGTGTGTCTTTACAGTCGAGGTTGCTGACATCATAAAAATTATATAATAATTGAAATATAAAATACGCGATCTAACAAGATTAAAATTTAAGTTTTGAGTGTCTAAATCGATCTTTCGCCTTCAGCAGTCGATCTCCATAGACAAGTCAATACGGGTGGGTTTTCTATATAGAAATAAATTGGCATAATCTTCTATAGCCGGCTTTCACCGTGTAGTGGCGTTGTAAGGATATAAACTAGCTCATATCGTCTCGTTGATGTGGATCATAAAAGACGACAGAGGGAACTGCAACAGAAAACCGGCAGCAGCTTCTTCGTGTTAACAGCTTAAAATTATAAAAACTGTGGTTTACAACCAGCCTGCTGAGCCTGGCAACTACGGCAAAATAAACCCCACGATGCAATCTACGGGCTTCCGTTAGAACGTGATCTGCCTTAGATTCTTCCGATAGAAGAACAACAGAACAGAATAATTTTTATTCAATATAGATTACAAGAATAGTTATTGAAAGTCACTTATGCTTTGAGCACTGGTTTGAATGAAAACTTCTGTCCTAGGCAGAACCTGCAGCATGGTAATGATCACCTCATTCCCAGGGGTCATGCTCTCTTTAGTAGTATAACCCTTTTTAAACAAACCTTATTCATCCCCCCCAACAAGCTTTCGGCTGACCTGAACTGCCTCCTGGCGGCTCAGGCCGAGCCTACTTAACACATCCCTTAATCTGCGTTAGGCACACCTTCCTTTCTGCCAAGGAGGGTTGCGTCCGTTTACGGCTTAAAGATCTCTCGTCAGATCGGTAAGCCAATCTCTAAAGGCGATGTTTAGTGGGTAAAAGTCTCCACATAACCACGCAGCGGGCTGCGTGATATGCTCCCCCCCGCTTTCCGGGGGGTTGCCCTTATTGCTTCGGGCACAAAAAAAACAAACCTTATTAACTAAAAACTTTGAGCCTTTTGATAGATAAGTCCTGCATATTTTCTGAAACTTTGTGGTAACAGCACATTTGCTCTTTGATAAAATAATTTAAATTTAAGGAAACAATAAAAGAAGTGTAAATTTAATTTATTGATTTTAAAAAATCAGTAATTAATTTATAACGTTTTCGAAATGACCGCCAATGGCCGTAATAAAGCTAAGGCTCTAAATGCCATTCTTTGAGTCGTTCTTTGCACTTCCAAAAGGTTCACTCCTATTCTGTGGCAGCAGCATCAATCCGCTGTTTCAGTTTTTCTCAGCATAAACTTTTTGTTTCATGTAGCCCCAAAACCAATAATCAAGAGGCGTTAAATTAGGAGACCTTCGAGACCATGCTACTGGACAGACTCTGCCAATCCAACATGGATAGTTTTGATTAATAAATTGATGCAGTGTGCATAATGAACCGGGGCTCATCTAATTGGAGGTGACACATGACCAAGAGGTCTTGCGTAAACCGTCTTGGCAATTCAAAGGGCCCAATAATTTGGTCATTAATTATTCCAGCCCACATGTTAATGTAGAATTTGTACTAGAAAGAAGTTTCTCTGAGAGCAAAAGGATTTTTATAATTCTAAACGTGCAGATTACGGTGGTTGGTTATTCAAGCTCTGGTAAATGTGGCCTTATCCGTCCTTAAAATTTCCCTTATGAAATGATAATTTAGTCTGTGCTATCGTTAAATCCACGTACAAAAAGCAGCCTTGGTTTACAGTCTTCTTCTCGTAAATTCTGAACACGTCGAAAATGGTAAGGGTTAAGAACTACTTTTTTCAGTACGCGCCACACTGTCATTTTCTTCATACCCAGCTGAGTTGCAATTCGACGAGTGCTTATCATCTGGTCAGCTGTTACTAATCTCAGCACTTCTTCATCAATGTCGTCATGAACAGCTTGACTACGTGATACAGATTCATTTCTTTTCCGACGTAAGCCCATTTCACTAAATTGTCGACGCATTAAAGGTAAACGAGCGATATTCAAGGACGATCCTGTTAGGAAATCGTCGTCGTCTGCGACCATGCGATGGTTGATGGTTCCAAATCCCAGAGTTTAGGCATTTTGAAGTCGAAATCATAAATTTACACGAGTCTTTAAAAACTTTGAAGAACACGAAATATGTATCGTCACACAACACAATGAATGGGCGAATAAACTAATCTAAGACTGGGGGTGCGCGATGCACAATAAAAATCAGTTAACAAGGGATTTGCACAGGTAAAAAATTACCTGCCTTATCCCTTATTTTTGACCAAATTAGTCATGTTTGATCAATTTATAGTTCGGCAAATGTTTGAGATAACTAGAAACATTGTTATGAAATTTTGTAGGTAATATCATGGTTTTTTTAATAATAATTAATGTTATAATAATCTTTGGGAATTTATTAAAATTTTTGGCGAAATTAAATAAAAATGGGCAATTTTTCTTAAAGCTTTGAGGTAACTTTTTTAAAGTATTTTGTTTCATTTTTTACCTCATTTTATATCTTAAATCGATGAACTACGAGTATGATAACAACTGGTAAAGATAAATAAGAATTTTAAAAAAATATGTAAAAAAACAAAAAATATATCTTGAAAATAGTGCTGCAAGTGAGGTTTTTATACGTTTTTATACTTTAATGGTATTTGTTCATAGTTTTTTCCAAATAATCAACAGACACCGGGCATGTTTTGGATACATTTTATACTTCAAATCGAAAAACTGTGATAACAACTGGTGAAGAGAAAAACAGAATGAAAAAAAAAATGTTAAAACAAAAATCATATCTTGAAAATAGTGCAGCAAGTGGGATTTCTCTACGAAAAACAAAATAAAAAAGCTAAAAGAAAACCAAACTGATTAGACCTGTTACTTTAACGATATTTTTTGATAGCTTTGTCCAAATAATCAACAGACCCCGGGCGGTCACGGTCGGCTCTGGGGCACCTTGTAGATAATGCCAGAGGTATGGGTACGATATAATATAGTTTAGAGATATGTAATGAGCTTTATTTATTTTAAATGTAAAACAAACAAAATTTTATCGGGTACTTTTTAGAGAATGAAACCCATAATAACAAATAACAGTCATTCATTTATACTTAAATATTCTTATCCGTTTTGGTTTATTAATATTATTCCTTAAAACTAACGGCATTACTTACAATCGTTGATTATAACTTACTTAAAATAATATTATTTATCTCTATACATATTTCTTTTTATCGACATTTAGTGACGAGAGGGAGAGATTTTTTAAAGTGACTTCTATTTGTTTTGAATACGACCGTTAAAAAATAAATATTTCAATTATTAAGACGCATTGGAGAGTTTACAGACTTAATTATGAACGTATGATTAAAAATACTTACCACAGACCAACAGCACACAAATTTTTTTCATTTTGTCCAATATATACTTAAAGACAACGTAAATTGCTAATGGACCGCTCTGTTGGGCTTATCTTAGCATCACTGACCAGCAATGACCGCTAGCAATGTTTATAAACTCACAGTGCACACATGTCCATCGCGACCCGTTTGTCGCGTATCTCCCACTTTTGAAATAATGATGTGAGTTATTACTATCGACATTTTTTTAAATTATCCAAAAAATAGAAATTACGTAAAGTCGTTTACCTTATTAACTACTTTAAAGTTGATTCAAACTACTTTTACGGATTTTATCGCGTTTATTTATGTTATTTTTAATACCCGAAGTTTCGGGTGTTTTCCAGCACCCATGGTCACGGGGGACTGAGGTGACAGACGTCCCGATGTCAAAGTTAACTCGGAATACCTTTAGCTTTTTAATTATTGTCATTGGTCCGATCTACGCACAATGAACTAACTGTATTTTGAAGTCTTGCAGTGGTATGCTTGGGTTTAGTTTTAATTTTATTAATTATAGGATCCCAAGCAGGTGGTAGTACCCAGCCTCCTTCTCTGTTGAAATTAGGATGTTTTTTAATTTCAATAGCCACACGTATCATCCTTGGTAGGAATCGATGTTCTTTCGCGAGGATTTGTGGTCTATCAAATCTAATGTAATGGTTGGGGCTATCTAGGATATGATCGCAAACTGCAGACTTCCCGGAACGTTGATGCTTCACGTCAGCTATGTCTTTTACGCGGTAATTGGTCTCTTTGTTTGCCCCATATATGTGAGACCACAATCACAATCAAGCTTGTACACTCCTGCATCTTGTAGAGGAATATGACACTTGACGGATGGTAAGAACTGACTAATATTCTTCGGCGGCTTGTAGAATGTTCTAATAGAAGCTCGCTTCAAGATGTAGCCAATCTTGTCTGTGACACCTCTGACATATGGTAATACAGCAGGCACACGCTCGACTGTGGCCGGCTTCACTCGGTCACTATGACGTAGGCGCGGGACCTGAAACGTGCAGAACCTGCTTGACGTGACTTGAGCTCGGCGACCAGGTGTTTGTTGTTTTATAATTTTAATATTTTAATAATAATTTTATCAACTTTAAAGTTAATAAAATGATTTATTTAAGAATCACGTGCAAACGAAAATGATTTATCTTAGGAGTGCCTAGTTAAGAGAGCACCCCCCTTCCTTCCTCAGTTTTGTGCCACTATCACTGTCACCATTATTCCCATAACTTGTACCCCTAATACTACTTCACTAGGTACACCCCTGTCGATGTTTCGACTCAGGAAGCCACCATCAGGAGAAAATAGACTACAATGACTGGGCACCATTTTGGAACCAAAGAAGAGAAGATCATCATCATTTTCTACGCAGATCTTAGCTGACTAATTTTAACATATTCAGTATAAAAAATTTCCACAGAGTAACGTCAGATTCTATTAATTAGTATTAACTGTATCAATTATCTTACTATTTGGCGTTTACGTTTATTATGATAAAATTAAGTTTTTTACGAATAATTGTACAAAAAACATGTCCTTCCTACCATAGAAGGTGCCCATGCTCAACTGTTAAAAATAATAAAAATATAATTAAGTTAAAGCTTATATACATCCTAATACTGGGTTTAGGACCCCTGTAATTTCTAAAGAGGTTTTTAGAGCACGTTAATGTCCGCCGCAAGGAGCCTAGCTGGTAAATCAACACTGACACATCCGTATGTGTCTAAGTCCTTATGTTTTTACGTGGTAGAGCCATGCTGCAGTTATATTAGTAGTATAGTTGTGGCACGAATGGGTCGGCTCGACCGGGGAAGGACCACACTCAAAGAATATCAGCGTAAAATAGTAGCTTAATGCTGCTGTGTTGCGTATGGTGAGAGTAGAGAACCGGAGACCCTTTTTACTGGAAACGAGGCATTCCATATTAGGCCTCACCGTATCCATACTAAAAATAAAATGAATCAATTACATAATTTCGTTTTATTTTTCCATTGCTCGTATTTTTTAAAATTACAGTTTGGTAAATACAACATAATATCAATATCATATTATTTAAATTCCATACATATCCTTAGCAACAGATTGTATGTTTTTATTTCACTGAGAACCGTATCGATTAATATGGTTCAACACTATATAACACATTTACAGATTCATGACCTGTGAGTAAATTACGGCGTAAATACCCATATTTTGTTTTCCCGTTCAGACGGGAATAGAATCTGTACTATATATTTTGTCACGGGTTAATAAAAAGTATTATGTAGATAAAAATTGAAAATGCTACCGAATTTCATCCATGACTTTATCTTATACAAAAAAAACGTTTCCTGAAATTCCAGTGTAGAAAAGTATCTTAGGAATTATCTTCCACAAAAATAAAATTCAGTTTCAAAAGAAGAAGGTTGTGTTTCATAAGAAAGTAAATCATTTTTAAAAATCGTTTAAAACAGCCGCACTTGCCCCTCAAGAAGGAATGTTCGGAAAAAAAACGATGAATTTAATTTATCCAACGGTCAAACATCAAAAAGTACTCTAACTGTACTTTTACTACTCTACTGACTCTTTTACTCTAACTGTACTTCGGTTTCTCTTCTCCCTTCCCTTTCTCATTCAACTGCGTAACAGTCCCCCCAAATCCGATACGCAGAAGCCATGGAGCCTGGAAAAAACGAGCATTCCGAACCATGAGCTTTCCTGACCCCAGCGGCGGATCTGGTCTCTGGCTCCGCTACCACATAAGTTTCAGCCGCAAAAGGTAGTAATAGCGGTACCTAACAATACCAACAGTCTTCTCCCCCCACGACCCCACCACCACCTTAGTGGTGCCTCATCATACCAATATGGAGTATATTGTTATAGTTATATGTCTTTTTCTCCACCAACACACATCCAAAGATGGCTCGTCAATCCCACATAGAGTGTCCACCTCGAGCCAGCTCTTCACCTCGAGCCAACCACGTGAGTTACTCTTAGTTCACAGTGGGTGACCAAGCCAGGGCTACTAAGCCCTCCATCTTCGCCACGACAAGACGGAAACCCGTTTGAGAGGGTGCTCTCGATTGCCTAGCTCAGTCTTTCGAGCACAGCGAGACAGCAATAGATCGTTACGAGGCTTTTCTTTAAATTTCTTCCAGTCGAGATATACCTCATAGAGGAAATGCGGGCGAAAAGATAGGTAGGTTATGGGTTTTTAACAGACCTATTACTGTCGCAGCTATGACCGTGTGTTCCTCGCCTTTTTTATATTTCTTAAATTTGATTGCTTGATGTCTAGATTTAATGACAGGGTTCCTAGTTTTTCAAATTTAAAAATATATTGAGTCGTAAAAGACTATTGAGGCTAAGGTTTACAGCATAAGTCTAATTTTTTCAGGTCGTCTTTTAAGATACAAGCTATACAACTTTGGAACACCCTCCCCAAAATATTAAGAATGCCACAAATAAGAAAGTTCTACGTCCAAGTTCTTCTACGACTACACTACCTGAGGGCAGCTACTAATTGACATTATTTTGCCTTTAATCTTTTCTTTTTTTTTCTTTTTTTACTTTAAATATTTATTTAATTATTTATTATTCAAACACTATATTTTATAGATCATTCATACGGATATTTATTAACGAAGTTCATAAGCATGTATATGTATTATATATAGATATATATGTATGTCTGTCTTACTGTGCGTATATTTATGCTACATGTGTGTATATTTAAATGTATTGTGTATGCGTGTACTTTGTATATATATTTAATATACGTACACTTTGTTTATGTACTTTGTTTGCACCTGCCAACAATTGTCTTTGGCACACAGAGTTGACTGGCAGAGAATACCACATGGAATTAAGGCCGCCCTATGTACACTTTAGCTTAAGGTGTTACATTTAAGTTTTAAATATTATAATTAACCAGAGAACAAACGAAGTAATATGTTTGTATAGAGTTATATATATACACACACCCACACCCACACACACACACATACACACACACACACACACACACACACACACACACACACACACACACACACACATATATATATATATATATGTGTGTGTGTGTGTGTGTGTGTGTGTCTGTGTCTGTGTATAATCTCTAATCGCAGACACAAGGATCCATAATTACAATAAAATTTAAAATACCGCCCGGATTTATTCTTAAGGATATAAAATGGAAAAGAAATAGCGTTTTGCACCGCAAGGTACTGTCTTGCATTGTTGCTACCGAACAAACAAAATTTTATGATTCTCGAATACTAATCTTTTCTTTTCTTTTTTCAAGCTTGGTTGACAGTACTACCGTGTGTCTAGATACATAGAAACTTTATAACCGTATAATTATATATATCCTTAATGTGTTCAAGCAACAGGTTAAGGAACACTATTTGTCTCTCTCTTCCACGTCTTAGTTATGGTCATTGATCTGCCTAAGGAATGTTGATTGTTTAGTACAAAGTTGGTATTTTCTTTTTTTTTTGTCTTCTTTCTAATTTAGTGCCACCTACCCACTAACCTCTTTCTTATTTTATTTAATTCTTCTTCTGGATTGTCTGAAAGAGATTGCTAAGGGGCGACAAGATTACCTTTTTATTTGTCCACTTTTTGTTATATTTATCGTTTCTTGGTGTACAATAAAGAGTATTGTATTGTATATTACTAAAGAGTATTGTATACTTGACAATTATATTGATCAGTGCGATTGTATATGAAATAATAAGTTAAAGACTTACACCATAATAATGTAAGCTTCCTGATTAATGTTTTATGGGGAACTTAGTTTAAGGCCTTGGAAAGATCGTAGAAGATACTTGGAATATAAAGAGATCTCTCATGCACAGTAATGTTTAATCAGCTCGGCACCAGCAACACTTATCGAGCGACCACTTACAAATCCCAACTGTATTTATACGTAAACCTAATATAGTCCTTGAGTTATTCAGGATCTTCAAAGAGGTATACTTATCACTCATTGATTCACTTGTCAAGACTTAGGACACC